GGCTGGAGTACAGTGGCCGGATCTCAGCTCACTGCAAGCTCCGCCTCCCGGGTTCACGCCATTCTCCTGCCTCAGCCTCCCGAGTAGCTGGGACTACAGGCGCCCGCCACCTTGCCTGGCTAGATTTTTTTTTTTTTTTTTGTATTTTTTAGTAGAAACGGGGTTTCACCGTGTTAGCCAGGATGGTCTCGATCTCCTGACCTCGTGATCCACCCGTCTTGGCTTCCCAAAGTGCTGGGATTACAGGCTTGAGCCGCCGCGCCCGGCCGCAAGTATAAATTTTTAAATATAAATTTTAAAGGTTTCATATGCCAGGTTATTGTCCCAAATGCACATGCAAAAAATAAGGTGTGTATGATGAACTAAATGTGGGCCAACAAATTAATCAGAAAGTGTGTGTAATTGTAGACAATGAATTTTTTTGCCTCTCAACCTAATGTACAGTTATTTCCAAGTGAAAGGAGGAAACTGTATCTCAGGGAATTATATTTAGATTGTCTTCTTTTCTAAGAAATAAAAACTGAGTTAAAAAAAGAGAAAATTTAAATTCAAATGGGCAAATATATTTTGTCAAATGTATATTTTTACATTTTCTGCTAGAGTTCAGAAGTTTTGTCAGAATAGCTTGCAACCCTGAGGATTCTACTTTCAGACATTGTCATAGTGGTAGGAATCACGCATTTTCCAATTAGTTGAATACTTCATGAAGAGATAATATTTTAAGAGTCTAAAAACTGAAGAGGCACATATAAAGACTGGATTTAGGCATCAGGATGAAAAGATGCATTGCAAATTCGTCAAAAAAAAAAAGCAGATACATCATCACTGAGAAGTAGAATGAAAGCAGGTATCTTGTGATACCTTCCATCTTCCGTGTTCCTAAAGGCATATTTTAAAAAGTGGTTTTACTTAACACGAGCTCTTGTTTTCTTTTTCCCCACATATTTTTATACAATATAGCTAAATTTCTTCTTCATGTGTTACGAGTAAAAAATCTGTTTTCTATTACAATTCAACGTGTATTTGGTTGAAATTGTTTTTTAAATGACATGTGACCTTCTGGGGAGATTCTTCTTTAATAAAAAAGATGCTATTATTCAAAAGCATAAAATAAATGCCAGTCCACAGTCCTTGCATACACACAGAAAGAAAAACAAACATATTTCTTAGCAAGAACACTTTTTATTTTTTGTGGCAGAAAAACAAAATAAGAAAACATCTTTTGCTCTTCTCCTGCTAGGGAACCCATTTAAAATTAGTTTGATAATCAGAGGGGAAAAAAATCCAAACACATAGGTGAGAAAGCTCTGAAAAGATGAGTAGTGAATAAGCATTTCATTTTATCTTAACTGGTATGCAGGGGAGGACACAGGTTGTGTGGAACCTGAAGCTACGCATTTGGGGGGGATCTGCCAAATGGCTATCAGTAGTACTTTTTACATGCCTAATGTAGCAGGCCTAGAGGGAGAGCAGTCCAGATGTGAGCAAAAGAACAGAGGGCTCTGGGAAGGAAGAAACAATGGTACAGTGAGAAAATTCCTTCTGTGGCATTCAGCTTTCCTGTCCAGGAGCCTCAGTTACAGGCAGAGTTCAATCGGAGAAGCAGAGCTTGTAGGATAATAAAGAATTTGACTTAATACAACTGTGGGAGCTGGTTAAGTACTCTTTGAAAGGAAGCTGTCTCCACAGATGATGTTGGAGCTTGAAGTACGAACCGCAGTTAAGTGAGAGCGCAGATGAACGAAACAGAAAGAGGAGCTGGAATCTATGAGGACGGATTGAAACCTGTGTCAGTTCTTGTTGCCTCTGACCCTCGTTGATGTGGGTGTCCTGCAGAAGCCAGACCATTTATTATGTGCTAAAGGAGGCTCCAAATTATATCGATAGGGAAGTGAAACAGCTGGAGGCTTAGCCACTATCCTAAAGCCAACGAGATACGTGACAGCATGAAGGAGCTACGAAGATGGCTGCCACTTCCTTTCTGCCCGCCAACTGCTCCTAACGGAAAACATCAGGCAAAAGGAATTCTGGGAAGTCTAGTTCGGCTTACCCAAGTTGACACATTACAAAGCACCTCACTTTTTCTTGGTTCCTTTTCTTCGTCTTTCTCTTTATCCAACTTTACCCTTATTTTTCTGATTCATATTGTCAGAATCTTTCCCAGAAAGTGTATGTGAATGTGGAACTATTTCTTGAGCATCTATTAATTTAAACTTTCTGCTAGTTACATCAACAATGGTAATATTTAGGTTAACTCACTAGTAAAATTGGTTTAGTTTTATTAATTTTAAAATGCTTCTCCATAGAAATTTCTGAGACCTATATTACGTGCAAATAAATTTTCTAGTTTTTCAGGACTCTGCCTGAGATCACATTGAAACCAACATTTTAGGAAGAATTTGATTACCTCCACCTGAGGAGGCTCTGCTAGTTGTGTGGAACGAAGACTGTTCTTAACAGCCCCTTTCGTTGATACCTACAACACACTCCATTCTAAATATTTTAATAAAAGGCACATTTGAAGTTTAAAATGTTATTGTCATCAGAGCATGGAGTTTTGTAACTCCCATAAAAATGTGCCTCCTGAACTAGGAGTCAAGTTTGGAAAAAATAACCACCAGAAATTTATGCTAGTAGAATACAGTCAAGGATACAAGATTAGTTGTCTGAGTCTAGTTCCTCATGCAGCCTTAAGCAGACATGTTCCTCGCTGCAAGCTGGAGTGGACTGGAGGCGGGGAGATCTGGAATTAAACCTTCCCACGGGGACTGGGTCAAGTATCAAATAGTAGACAGGTGTTCAATCCGGCAGGCACAATACAGGGTCTAGAGGGTCTGGATGAAAATTGTGCTGTAACTGATGTATTAATTGAAGAGTTCTCTGAATAAGGTCTTCCAAAAGGAGAAGGAAAAAAAAAAATTGACAGTGTCCATTTAATCTGTTTGGGAGCCTCATTAGCCTGATCTTGATGGGACTGTACCTGTGGTCCTATTATATCATTCTTTTCTTGTACTTCTTTCAGCCAGTGATCTCAGGTCTCATTCTCATTTCATAGCTGTGGTGCAATTGTGCAAGGTCACAACTTTTTCTTTTCTTTCTTTCTTTTTTTTTTTAGACAGGGTCTTTGTCACCCAGGTTGGAGTGCAGTGGCATGACCTCGGCTCACTGCAACCTCCGCCTCTTGAGTTCAAGTAATTCTCCTGCCTCAGTCTCCCGTGTAGCTGGTACCACAGACGCCCACCACCACACCTGGATAATTTTTGTATTTTTAGTAGAAACTAAAAATACATGGGGTTTTGCCATGTTGGCCAAGCTGGTCTCAAACTACTGACCTCAGGTGATCTACCTGCTGCAGCCTCCCAAAGTGTTGGGATTACAGGCGTGAGCCACCGCACCGGTCCATAATTTTGACCTTTCTTGGTGATACTTCTTCCACCATGTTATAGCAGTACATCCATGGAGTAATGTTACTCCAAGAAAATTTGGCTTTTGGAATTCCTCCACAAAATATTGGCCTTAGAGTAGTCCTTACTGTCTGATGAGCTTTTGCGAGTTTCTCCTGAGGCAATGATGCCAGCCCAGTTTCCGAAAGACAGCATAGTCTACCTTTAGTAGAGAAGAGCACAGATTCTGAGCAGGATTGCCTTTGAGCCCAGCTACACCTCTTGATAGCTGTGTGACCTCATGCAATTCACTTAAACCTCTGTACCTCAGTTTCCTCATTTGTGAAATGGAGATCATTAACAGTACCTACTCATAGGGCTGTGTGGCTGAGTGAGTTGATATAATTACCATTTTTATCACATTATGAGTATACCACATGTTAGCTGCTGTTAGTATTATGTCCCTCCAGTGAGGAAATAAACACAAGGCTAAATTATTGCTTGAAAGGGGAGAAAGCTAAAGGCATACGAGAAGGAAAGGTAAGTTTGTATTTCAAAATCTGTCATTTTACTACAGAGGTAATTATCGAATTAGCCAAATAATCCCATATTTTTGCTTTTGAAATTTAACATTAGCAGCTTGAATTCTCTACAATTATGAATGTATCATTTCCACTTGTGTGTGTGTGCAAATCACTTCAGCCTAATTGGCTTTTTCTTCTTCTTCTTCTTTCCAGTAAATCAACAGGATTACGTTTCCCTTAATAATTTTCAAAATGTCCACATGAAGGACAGGAAGATGTTTAACGGGAAGACCAAACATCATCAGTGCTCAAGTCCAGTAGATAACAAAGAACAGAAAGAAAACAAAACTTTGGTATTTTACTGGAATCTGAGTGAATAAATAGGGACCACAGGACAAACGGCAAACAACTGCTTGAGTTACATCAGAGGGAAAGAAGAAATGAGGAACTCGGATTTCCAATATGAAACTGTTATACAATATGATTAATGGAGCTAACAGTTGCCTATTACACATTAGAAAATCTTCTAGAGGATTTTAAAACAAAAGGAACAACTTGTCCAGAGTATAATTGATGCTTCCAGTTAAATTTCACAATTTTGCACCTCAGGGAATACTTTTGTTTTTCTTAGAGAGCAAATAAACTGACCATGTCACCTTGGCAATTATTAACCTACCTCGTTTTTCATAACTAGGAAAAATTTGGCTTATCTCCATATTTTAGTTGAGATGACATATTAATTCATGTATTTAAGGGTAAAATGTTATTATCCTTAATACAAAGCAAAGTTTCAGCTCTGTATTAAGCAAAGTTTCAGCTTTGGTTTTACTTAGTTTTCAATGAAATATTATTGATGTTAAAGTACAAAACTTCTCTGAACATAATAGTAAGTTTTAAAATATATATATCTTTATAAAGATATATTATTGGATCTTTCACAAAAAGTCATACAAATGGGGAAAAAAGAAAAATATCAGAGTATTGGAATTTGTCCTTGAATCTCCTCTTTTAGTTTTCTTTCAGTTAAACCAGTGTCCACATGTTTGTTTCTGGATTGAAGCCAGAATCAACATTGTCCCTATTTCTAATCAAATAATGGAGAAATAATTACAATTTCTGAAGGCAGTCAGAGAATCCTGGGAAGCAGAGTGTCTGGACGGAGGCTGAGCTGGGTCTCTGACTCATTTCTGACTTTAGGCAAGTTATTTAATGTCTCTGCATTTTTGACATGCTTGTAATAATGCTAATTTATTCCACAGGTGTGATAGTAACCAAAACTCAAGTAACAACCACTAGCTTTTGCAAGAAGTCAGGCTGACTAGCAAGAAGTCTGCTTCTACAACTTGGAGAAGAGATTTAGAATTATGTATCTTTTCTATTTCCTTTACATTTTGAATGAATTGGATGGGAGTTTGATGTAAATGATAGGTTTGCAGTTTCAGTATAAAAAATTAAAAATAAAATGGACCATATGACAATTTTCACTTCAGAAGTAAAAACTTCAGAAACATTTTTCTTTATTGCATTTCTTGGGGGATCAAATATATTTAGCTTTGTAAGGCTTTCAGTGAGTATGGATTCTTAAGAAAAATGCGAAAGCACAGTTATATTCCATTTTCAGAAAGAGGAAAAAATTTGGAAGGAAATAGCTTAAAAGGAGTCTCTAAGCTTGTGTTTATGGGTAAATTTTTAACTCACTGACTTAGGTTATAGTCCGTTTGTGAATGTTAACTTATTAAACATACTTCCTTCAATAACTTTTTCCTTCCTTATTGTTTCTTTTATGTATCCTATTATAATGGCTCATTTAAAACATACCAATTTTGAAATGTTTACATTCTACTAATGTACTTCTGTTTTGTAATTGTTTTTTAAAATTACATATTATCTGTAGAACTTTTCATTTACAAATTTAATGTCTTCATCTTTAAATTTAATGCAGTGTAATTAATTAAATATCTTCATCTTTAAATTTAATGCAATGTAATTAATTAAATATTTTTTAAAATGTAGTGGGGAAGGAATTAGAATTTATAGCATTAAAATAATTTATGTCAAATAATATAGTCCACTAAAGAACAGCCATTTGAGAACAATTTTAATTTTATAATAATTAAAAGTTTCCAAACTGCCTAAAGCAAAAATATTATAAAAGAAATACAACTAATTGTGCAATAAATGAACAGAATAATTTGATACAACTTTATCATAAGCCAGATGTGCAAAATAAATAGTAGTTTACTATCATGAATGATGGAGACCAGAGTCTTGAAACAAATTCTTAATACCTAGCATTTCTTCAATATTACAGAGAATGTTGGCTAGAATTACAAATGAGGAAAATGGGAAATTTTAGAGAACTTAAGATAGTCTCAGGAATTATTCTAAAGCTAATCAAAGTAATATAATGACTTTCTAAATATATATAATTACATTTTGAAATACTTTATTGTTTATATGCTGCCAGACTAGGGGGTGCCTTTTTGATTTGATTATTGAATTATCTTAATGGCAATGAGATGAACATTTCTGGATATCAAGAAACAGAGGCCTGTCAAAAAAATTTCATTAGCCCTTTATTTTGTACTAAATCTAATGCTAAGCAACATTTATATACCTTATATAATTATATATAATATCTATAATATATACATAATTATTGTAATAATTTTATGTACATACGTACACATTTATATATACAGTGTGCGTAGGTAAAGTTATATGATATATAGGTGCATCACCCAGAGCATTTTCTTTTATTTATTTATTTGTTTATTTTTTGAGATGGATTCTTGCTTTGTTGCCCAGGCTGGAGTGCAGTGGCACGATCTCGGCTCACTGCAAGCTTCACCTCCCGGGTTTACGCCATTCTCCTGCCTCAGGCTCCCGAGTAGCTGGGACTACAGGCGCCCGCCACCATGCCCAGCTCATTTTTTTGTATTTTTAGTAGAGATGGGGTTTCACCATGTTCACCAGGATGGTCTGGATCTCCTGACCTCATGATCCGCCCGCCTCGGCCTCCCAAGGTGCTGGGATTACAGGCATGAGCTACTGTGCCTGGCCACCCAGAGCATTTTCAAAACATACTTTCATTTATGCAACAGCCAGAATCAAACACTGGAATAAAAAAAATTTTTTTAAGCTCTAAGTGTTTTTTGTTGTTGTCATTTGTTTGTTTTTTGAGACGGAGTCTCACTCTGTCACCCAGTCTGGAGTGCAGTGGTGTGATCTTGGCTCACTGCAACCTCTGCCTCCCAGGTTCAAGCGATTCTCATGCCTCAGCCAACAGAATAGCTGGGATTAAAGGTGCGTGCCCCCACACTTGGCTAATTTCTTTGTATTTTTAGTAGACTGGGTTTCGCTATGTTGGCCATGCTGGTCTCGAACTCCTGACCCAAGTGATCTGCCCTCCTCGGCCTCCCAAAGTGCTGGGATTACAGACGTCAGCCACCACACCTGGCTAAGCTCTAAGTTTTTAAGCTAATATATTCACTTCTGAAATAAAGTACTTGATCCCACAAATGCATAAGAAAACTTGAACCAAATAAAAAAAATTTCAACAAATAGCATTAAAGCAAAGTCTAAAAGATACAGACATTTCATGACTTTTCATTTTTGACTCCTGAATATGAACTGGGAGTGGATTAAAATAATGAAGATTTATTTCCTATCACATAAAAAAAAAAGAGGACATCATTTTTACTACTGATCCTTAGCAGTTTCATTTATCAAGGAAATATCCTAATCAGTAATCCATTAAATACATTGGCTATTTTCAGTCAGAAGAACAATTTGAGTTAGAGTCACAAATAAATGGTATTTATGTCATATCGTTACACTGATTTCCCAGACTAGTGTAAATATAGTTAGTGAAAGTCTCTTTTATTTCTTTAGGCAAACAATTTTCCCTCTCTGAGCCTCGTTTCCTCTAGTGTTGATGATATTTGACTAAATGATGTCACTTCCTTTAATTATGTTTTGTGTGCATGTTCTAGCCTCAGGGAATAAGGCTATTTCTAAAATCTCTTTATATGTTTTTAAAAAATATTTTGTTTTCCATCTTTTTTTTTTGCTTCCTTATAATAAAATGTTTTTATTTCTTATTTTCTGTAACATGAAAAATACTTTCTGATTTTATGTCTGTGACTATGCAGTTGATTGATTATGTTTAAGAAATCTCCATTTGAGTAAGGGCATTTATTGTTTTGCTTTTTGCTACTTGAGTTTTGTGATAAATTTTAAAATTACATAGTTAAAGACACCAGGGTACGAATTTAAAAAGCAACATAGCTATTATAATTTTGCTCAAAAAATATATTTATTGCCAACTGAAAACATGAGTCAAACTAAAATCTTATTATGAGATAGCTATGGTAATGACCTTGGCCCACTGAGACAGCCAACTTTAAATATCTTAGGTATTATATTTTCAGTTATATATTTTCTTTTGGGATTTTATAAATCCAAATATCTTTTTTAAAACCAAAATAAGCTATCACATATCAACATGACGTATTTGCAAATCACAAAAAACTTTATGAAAAGCATAGTTCGTTAAGAGTTCTTAGTTATTTTTGTTGTTGTTGGAAGGGTGAAGAAGGAGGGAATCTGATAAAGACATAACAACGAACACAAAATAATTTGATCTGCGATAAGCAACTGTGAAATTACAATAACAGATCCTGGGAAGTTCTACAATCCTAATTTAGGTTTACAAGTTTTCTTCTCATCTATTCAATAGATATTTTGTTGAGTACCTGTGCTAGGTTCAATTGTGCCCCCCAAAATATGTTCATTCCTAACTTTTATTACCTGTGAATGTGATCTCACTTGCAAATAGGGTCTTTGTAGATGTAACTAAGTTAAGATGAGGTCATACTGGATTAGGGCAGACCCTAATCCAATGACTGATGTCCTTATATGAGGAGGGAAATTTAGACACAGAGACACACAGAGGAAAGACAGCCACGTGAAGATGGTATCGGAGAATGGAGTGATACTGCCACAAGTCAAAGGATGTCAAGAATTGCTGGCAACCACCAAATGCTAGAAGAGGCCAGAAAGGATTTTCTCCTGTAGACTTTGAAGGAAGCGTGGCCCTGCTCTTCTTGATTTTGGACTTGTATCCTCCAGAACTGTGAGATAATAACCTCCTCTTGCTTTAGGCCACTCAGTTTATGGTAGTTTGTTATGGCAGGCTCAAGAAACTAGTACAGTACCTAACTATCCACCCAGCGTTAGGGCAGTATATATAATAGATGTAGCCCCTCGCCACTTGGCACTTACATTGTAGATGGTGGTTGGAGTGGGTAGACGATAAACACATATAATATTTCATTATATTTGATGATAAGTGCTAAGGAGAAACTTAACCCATTGTAATAAAGATATGGAGTGTACGGGTGATGTTGTTTGCCTGTGTCTCCACCCAAATCTCATCTTGAATTGTAGTTCTCATAATCCCACATGTTGTGGGATGGACCCGGTGGAAGGTAACGGAATCATGGGGGCAGCTACCTCCATGCTGCTGTTTTCGTGATAGTGAGTTCTCCCGAGATCTGATGGTTTTATAAGGGGCTTTTCCCCCTTTTGCTCGGCACTTCTCCTCCCTGCCATCATGTGAAGAAGGACATGTTTGCTTCCCCTTCCACCATGATTCTAAGTTTCCTGGGGCATCCCCAGTCATGGCAAACTGTGAGTCAATTAAACCTCTTTCCTTTATAAATTACCCAGTCTCAGGTAGTTCTTTACTGGGTAAATTTATAACATGAGAACGGACTAAGACAACGGGGAACAGTTTTTATTTTATACGTAGTAGTCAGGGAAGGTATCTCTGGGAAGGGAATACCTGAGCAAAGACCTGAAGGATGTCATGGAGCAAACCACAGAGATTTTCAGAACTGCATTCCAGGTAGAGAGAACAGCAAGCACAATCGCCCTGACAAGTCTCTGTATTTCAGGGTGTTTCAAAAATGCCAAAGAGGCGTATGTGGCCAGAGTAGGCAAAAATGATGGGAAAGGAGGTATGCTGGGAAGATGAATGCTCACAGATTATGTAAAGCTTTGCTGTTGGATGACCAAATATCCCGGTTTGCCCAGGAAAGGTTCAGTATAGAATGTTGTCTCATTGTAATTCTAAAAAAATATTCTGCGAGGCCGAGGCAGGTGGATCATGAGGTCAGGAGATAGAGACCATT